AAGTTTTTTGTTCCATCTCTTCTTTTAAGCAAAGTTTTTCTCGGAAAAGCATTCGCCGAAAATGTCCCCTAATTATCCTGTGAAATGTGTTTAAGATAGCGGGTAAATTTTGATGAGAGATTGTGAGGTATGTCGAGTAGTACACACAAATTCCTATTTTTTTCGGAAAATTCGTCAAAAAAAAAGGTAAAAAAAATTTTTGCGTAACTACAAAGTTGCTTTAGACGGAAAATTGTTAGAAATCCACATTGCAGTAGTTAAATTTCAAATTTTCTTACATCTTAATTTTTTTTTATAATTTTTTTTTTTAATTATCGCCAAACGAAAGGAAATTTCGAAAAGCAGATAAATTAGTTATCGAAAAAAGTTGATTTAAACGGAAAATTGTTGGAAAACCACTTTACCATAGTTGAATTTCGGTAGGGATATTTTAAAAACGCAATTACCTTAATTTTTTATAAATTTCCGAAAAAGGCGAAAATTTCGAATTTTTTTATTTGGCCTTCCCCCCGTCATAAAAACACTGACGTATGATACGTCACTCAAAGCACCTCGTCGAACCGGATAATTCTTCTTTTGCTCTATTTCAATCTTTTAAACGAAGTTTTTTCCCGAAAAAGCGTTCGACCCAAAATTTCCCCTATTTCCTGGGAAAAGTTTTTGCGGAAGCGGGAAAATTTTGATGCCATATTGTGAGGAACATCGAATAGTACACGAAAATGTTTATTTTTTCGAAAAGTTCGTCGGAAAAGTAGAAAAATTCGGTAAATTAATTTTTTATCGGTTTTTTCCAAATAAAACGAAATTTTCCGAAACTAATAAATCCACTGTCGAAAAAAAGTTGGTCCAGCCAGAAAATTGATGGAATACCACTTTTCCGAAGAAAAATTTAAAATTTTCTGACGTGATGCGACTGAGAAAACTTCAATGTTTCAAAAGTAGTGAAATTCGATACAAACACCAGCGTACCAATCTTTTTTAACTAACCTTTTATCTATCAAAATATTCACATTCCAGAATTTGGTTAGGACACAGTGTATTTGAAAATGTAAAAAAAAAACTAGAGTGAAATAGTATATTATACAACGATCATTTATCTTAATAGCTATTAAAATGTGAGTTGCATACACTATTTATTATTTATTTATTTTCAAAATTTATTAAACTTATAGAGGAAGAACTAAATAAACATCAAAACTTTATCACAAACAAACATAGAAATCAAAATTTAACAAATAAAGGAAATATTAGAATTATTCATTTCGATACTATTTTTGATTTATGATTATATTGTTGATGGTACAGTTATTAAAATGCAACTGTAGTACTTCTGGCAGTTTTGTTACAATATTGGTTAAGGCCGTTGTTGATGTTGATGGGATAATATTTATTCAATTGTTGGTTTGGCTATATTCAATCGAATTCAAAATTTGATTACCTGCGTGTTTGCATTTTTCTTGTCCCTCCAATACATGAATTGACTATAAAATGTTTTTTTTTGGATTTTGATGGTAATAAATTATTATTTATAGCTCTTGTGGCCTGTTCCACAATTTCTGGTGGAGTTAGATTATCTAGTTCATTATTGTCACTATACATTTTTGTCGATTTTATATTTTTCAGGATTTTTACTAACTAAAATCTGACAGTAGAGTTTCAAACTGATAAATTTTAGATCTGTCAGATGTTCATGGCATATATGATTTTTACTAAATTTTGCTGTGATATTACATTTCTATTGGCTGTAAACTTGTATCTTGATGAAAATCTGTATCTTAATGGATGCCATTAAAGTACAGATAGTAAATGTCTAATAAATAAATTAAAGCATAGGAGTAGAAAACTATATAATGCTTGGAATTCTTTATTATACTCTTCACAGTTTAACAGACTCATTAACTCCAATTTTTTATTGGATTTATTTCAGAATCAATGATTCATCCCCTTATAAAGCTTGATTGTCCTCTTATAGAACTTCAAGTTGATATTATTGTTAGTTTTTGAGATTTTTATAAATATTTCAACCCCTCTTAAACCCCCATTTTTATTCAGATTTTTTTGAGAATCAATAGGCTTTATTTCCTTATAGACAATGTAAACCTATTACTCTTCACAGACTACTGTGTGAAGAGTATAGGGTTGATATGACAATTATGATTTTTTATTTATTTTTTTTTTGTTCTTCAATTTTAAAATCTAATGTACTTTTTACTTTAATATTTGCAGTTCTGGCGAACTTCATTTAATATTTAAGAGAAAAGAAATGGATTTGATAATTCTCACAGACTTACATCGTAGATATATACAGGATTGGGCATGGACAGAAAACGAAACCGTTTCGGTTCTTCACCATGTATACATAACCTACTTCGTACACAGACAGATGTGTCCATTTTAAAGCAAGAGCAAGATTGTATACCTACCTGTTCTACTGGTGAGTATAAATAGGAATGTAAACCACCAAAATGTTTACTTTGAAGGTGTTCAATTAAAAGATCGTAAAAAATATTGGGTAATCTTTAGGTGGAAGGTCTAGGTCTTAGCAAAATACAAGAAGTTGCCAGATCTAACTCTTCCATGCGAAGAAAACCTAAATTATCTACAAAGCTTCAGAAGATCATTTCTATCCAGCATTCAGCCTCTATGATTGAGTTCTGTAGAGTAAGTGGAGAAGTGGTCTCTTCACTTTTGTTTTGAATAGTGAGATTCAACTCCTCCAACTTAGTTTTTGAACTCGCTTCAACAAAATTAGAAGAAAGATTGAGGTGACACTGTCACCGTGACTTCAGCGAACCCGCATCACATGGCATTACATCATAGAAAAATTGAAAAGAATCTAGGTAACCGAGTGGGTTTAAATTTTTCGTATCAAACTATATATTTTTCAAATGGTAAAGAGAAATGCCCCCTCCCAATTTAGTTAGTAAATTTTAAAACACTATAAAATCAAAGAATTTTAAAAAAAATTAAAAATTTATTTAATTTATTTCATGTTTTCACGTTATTTAATTTTTGTAGTATCTCTAGACTAAAAATCAAAGAAATCCTTTATTAGCAGAACTTAAAACCATTTATGCAGTGCAAAAGTAAAGTATGCACCCCATTCTAACTTCGATATAGTAAACTATTTAGTGAAAATTATCGGTCAGGTCAATTTTTAGTTCTTATAAAGAATATACGGTAATATACGACACTTGAACGGCAGACGTTATTATAGAAATTTTACAAAAAGTTTCTAGACCCTTTGAAACACACTATTTTATGTATATATTTATTGCGAAGCAACTCGCGATAATTCCAGGCCGTACAGGTTAGGTAAATTAGTTGAAATTTGTTTAGTTTTTCTTATTTTATGTATATTTTTTGAGAAGCAGCCCGTGGTGACTCCAGCTAGTTAAATTAGTTAATATTTGTTTAATTTTTCTTATTTTATGTAATTTTTTAAATATTTGAGAAAAAAATATTTTAATGCGTTTGCAGGGCAAAAAAAGTATTTTGAAATGTGTTTCAGAGGGTCTAAAATGGTCTAAAAAAATAGCCGGTCAGACCGCTACCGGATTTTTCCAGAAAATTTCTCATAAAGCACATCTCTGTATTGAAAATTTTAATAAAGATCGACTGATAGTTCATGTGAAAGGGTGTATAATTTTTATCCAATGGTGTACATAATTTTAAATTTTCTTTATTAATTTTTGACTCAATTAATTAAATTTAAAATGGTTTATTAATTACATTACATCATTGTACTTAAGTTATCAAATACTCAAAATGTTTTCTTTTAATTTCTTGACGGAAAAAGTCAATTTTCATTTGGAAATATGAAATTAAAAACCGCGATTTCCTCTACTAAATTAAGGAATCTATCCTCATAACCTCAAGGTGAAACCAAATCAAAGAAAAGTTGAAAGAGCTGAAAAGATTCTAGAAAATTAGGATGACTCTGTGTGAATTTCGTAATAAACATCGCTCAATTTAAACATAATATTCCCAGGCCGGGACTGTGCATGAGACAATACTTGCATTCAAAGCTCACCTATCAACAAGACACATCTTCCATAGTCTTGTCCTCTCGCTTCAACACAATATGATCAAAATATATTTTATGTAGACCTACTTCAACCCTCCTAGCAACAGTAGAACACTCCGTCACATATTCTATCTTTCAAGTTGTAAACACCCTTCTCTGTCTTACCTAATAAAACTAAAACTCTTTCGTGATAAAAAAAACCTCTCCCAACGACTACGTCGTAGACGTGTCCATTACATAATGAGGTGGATGAAGAGTGGGCAACGTCTCATCAAACCAGTGATGCCAATTCTACCGATTTTTCATTATATCTACCGATTTGGCAGTTCATCTGCCGAAAAAGCCTTATTTTGTATCGATTTTCATTCTTTGGTACAATTTTTGGCATTCTATACACAAAACAGTACTTAGAATCCAACATGTGCTATAACTTCGGCACATTTTGTCAAAAAGTGTATATTTTTTATGCTAAATACTGTTTCATTAGTTTTTAATATTTTATTCTTTTGTTTTTTTTATTTTTAAGTAGATATGTATCTTATTATGACGATTCAATTCAAAATACGTGACCAAATATGCAAGTGCGATGAAATGGAACAAAGTATAGAATGAATGCTGTTACCAGCCGCTATATTTGACAAAGTTTGGTTGTTTATACTATTTTCTCTTTTAATAAAGAGTTTATTTTCGTTATTTTTTATTTCTTAACAATCGACTATTATTCCCAAAAAAATCAATGTTTTTGCAAGTATAACTTTAAATCTACCGAATTCTACCGAATTTTGAGCAAGTTATTTACCGAAAACAAAACTTTAGTAGTGGCAATACTAATAAGGAGTTTACTCATTACCGTCTTTAGCTGATGAATAGACAAGGGTAAAACCCTCTTTTGAGTGGCCTGGTTTGAGGTACCTACCTGAAGACTTACCTATAAATAAGGGTATATATTTCTTTTATTAAAACTAAATATTTAATTTATTTATAATTTATTTAGCACCATATACAATTTATGTCAATTTAAAAATGCGATATCATTAAATGAAAATAAATATATTTGAATTTAACTAAATTTCTTTCATTTATCTCCTGAAATAGAACGCTTTTTCCTACTAAAAATATTTTTACAATTTATTTTATTGATGTAGTTTTTTTCCGTGTAGTTTATCCTCCGATTTTTGGTTATGATTGTGCGCATTGTGGTGTTTATTTTGAGCTAAAAATAAAGTATTAAATATTGAAAAAAAAATATACCAGAAATATCATGTACACATGAAAGGGGGCAATTATTTAGCTTATTTCGTGACTAAAATGTCATATAAAATAAACATAGGTCCCCTAACGCTTCATTACCGACCTACAGCAGTTTTTGATATATACCAGGTGTTTAAATTAAAGTTTTACTGTCAAATACCGCCAAACATATGCATTTTATAAAAAAAAGTTTCAGACAGAAGTTTAATAGTTTTTTGGGGGAAACATTTTGGCTAAATTCATTTTTTATAGCTGACCATAATATGGCCATATCGAGGTAAACTTTTTTTTTCAAATGGGACCCCATTTTTTACATATTCTTAAAGTTCATAAAAAAATAAGTAGCTTTTAAAGGAAACATTTTTTTACTGGACTTTTACTTATTGAGTAACATCTACTTGAAAATTTTGCTGCGCGAAAAAAAGTTGGCCATATTATGGTTAGCTATGAAAAACGATTTTAGCCAAAATTTTTTCCCCAAAAAACTATAAAACTTTCGTCTGAAATATTTTTTTTATAAAAGGCGGTATTTAACTGTAACACTTTAATTTGAACACCCGGTATATTTGATATTTTTTTAAGGGTCTTAATTGCTCCATTTTTCCTCTGAATTTTTTTGCGGTGCGGCGCTGGTAGATTCCAAAACACAAATTAACTTGCTGGTTTTTTTAGAAACTTTTTGGCCTCTTGTAGATTTTTTTATTTGTGACCATTACCAGGATAAAAATAAAAGATCAACAATTTTCTGTAATTCGCTAATTGAAAATGAAAATTTTAGTTTATTCGCCATGTCCCATTGAAAATGAATGCTGGGATGACCCAGTTTTTGTAGAAATTATTTATTACAATACAAAAAAAAACTAAATGATAACCATAACGAGGAAACTATAGCAGTTGTAAAGAAAAACAGAAAAATCTTAAAATTGAACACCCTGTAGATCGGTAACGAAGCGTTTGCGGACCTAGGTTTATATGTCTTTTTAATCATAAAAAGAAACAAAATATTTACTCCTTCCTTATATACATGATATTTACAAGCACCCTGTATTTTATATAAGTTGTTAATTACCTCGATGTCTGTCGTGGAAACTAACGCCTCCAGTAACTAGAAATTATAAATTATAGTTTAATATATGAATACAAGGGCAGCTCCAGAAGAGGGCTCACAAGATTGCCATATCTATATGTCAGTTCCCACTTGTCAGCAATTTGACAGTTCGTTGGAATGCCTACTACTAATATAAATATAGCTTTACGTTAGTCCCTTCAAGCTTAAAGGCTTGTGTCCAAAACAAAGTAACCGAATAGTAGCAACTTAATAGTTTTACATTTTAAAGTATTATAACTTACATCCGCCAGACAAATAAGGACCTGAGCCACTAGATTGAACTCCTAAAACAGATATATCAATATGTACCAATAATAATGTTCATAACAATTTAAATTATTGGTAGTAACGAAAAACATGTTTTCTTACCTATAGGCTGAGAAGCAGTTTCAATTTTACCAGTAGCTCCAGAAGATTTCTCAGGTTCACTAGTTACAGCTTCAGGTCCGGGCGCAGTAGCTGCTTTAGATGCAGGAGAAGAAGATTCCTCATTTTTAGGTTCAGAAACTTCCTTAGATCCAGGAGTAGTACTAGCTACTTCAGCTCCAGACACTGAAGCGCCAGCTTCAGAAGACTCTTCAGGTTTAGAAGTAGTAGCTTCAGATCCTGAGGATTGTGTTGAACCTTGTGCTTGTGCTTGTGCAGCTAAATAAACAACTTAGTTTAATGCAAAGTGACGAAAGTAAAAAAAATAACATAAAAAACAGTTAAATTTTAATAAGTATTGTAAAAACATTAAATGAACTTTAAGGAAATTTATGCTTGGATTATAAATATTATATTACAGGATGTCCCAATCTGTGTTTGGCATTTTAACAGATATAATTCCTAGGAGATAGTGAAAAAGTCTGGCAATAAGATTTCTCTTTCAACGAATGAATGTATAATTATGAAATTGTAGTGTGATGAATAAGACTTTATTATATTATTGTTTTTTTATCCTATAGGTACAGAGTAGTTAAAAAGTGTGACAGCAAGGTATTTTCGCCTATTTTAAAAAGAAATTCCAGATTTGATGTCTATAACTTAAGGGACAATTAGTAAAATTGAAAAACAATTTTGAGGGCTTGGACATGTAAGGCAGTTAAAAAACTTCGAATTCACTAATGATGGATTTTATTTATTGCACTAGGTGTAAGTTTTCTGCACTAATCTCATTTGATTTCTTCAGTGAAATATTTGACAGTACTACACGTGTAGCATATATTTTTGACAATTATGACAGTTCGAATACAGTGTCAAGTGTGACACTAGTGCAACAAATAAAATCCACTATAAGTACAGTTCATCAAATTTCTAGAGGCTTTCGACGGCTAGACAGAGAAAGCACTACTGACAGCCATCCCGACGGATTTACGCAATGAAAGTACACTCTGCGCATCAAGTATTTCACTATTTCATTCAGACGTAAATATCAGATGTAAATTTCGCTAAAACATTTCTTTTATTTTCGTTTGTGTTTTTTCTCATTACAGTTTAATAGAACCTAAGTATAGAGTTTAATAGCAAATTAAGAGGCCGCGTGATTAACAGACAATCTCGCGAAATAATAGCCAATGTTATAGAGTTTATGAGAAGAGAAGGAAACTTTAATTCACCTTCAATACCATTTAAAAATGTAAATGATCGTGTTGTTGCAGCCACAGGAGTATCTAAAAACACTGTCGTCCGCATTTCTGGAGAGTAAAAAAGAATCGATAACCGTGAGATATCGGAATTTTCATCACCAAGAAAAACCATTAAAAAACCAAAAACAGTTAATGATATAGATGAAGCTGCACAAGAATCAAATTTTATTTTTTTATTATTAGATAGCTATTTTTGTTTCTGAGTTGTGTTCATTTACAGGCTCAATTTTTTTCCGTTTCTCCTTTTTGATTTTATATGTGGTTTCAAGTTGTTTTTGACTTATTTCGACGTAAATCACAACACACTTTTTTAATAAAGCAAACAAGTGTTAAGAGGTATATGTACGTGTAAACTACAATTACAAAAAATTGATATGAAACCCATGAAAGCACCAACAAAAATGTAAAGCTAGCTTCCGTACTAGAACATGGTGTCATTCGTCGAGATAATTTATCGTTTTGTTTAATAGATCAAGAAATGTAAATATTCCCCTGTTATTTTTTATAAAATTATAAGAGAAATAAATTTTTTTCTAAATAGTATAGTTTATTATTTTGTAGAAAAACAAAATTTCGAAAATTTTAGTAATGTTTCAGAAACAACCGTTATTAATAATAGGTACCATTTTCCTTAATAAGGTAGAAATAAAATATAAACTATTTCCACGATTTACAAAGGCCTACAAAAAAATTATAGGTATTTTCTGCTATCCTATAAAATTTATATTTTCTGACTCAATTTCAAAAGGTTGAAGGAATTCCAAAACACCTTTTATGGCATAATAATTATTTTCAATCCTACATACTATCTTTAGCTGCTTTTAAAAACGTTCTAAGAAAGTCCAATCAGACCAATTTAATCCCTAAACTATTCCACACTTTTAAAATTTAATTACCTAAAAATATTAAAAACTATTTAAAATAACTTGTTTAGCAGACTGTACAATAGCTATCTTAGTCACACGTAGCGCGTTCTCTGTCTGGGCGTCGAACACCTCTAGAAATTTGATGAACTGTACTGATACCAAATTGGACATAATGCTTGAATTTGAGGAGAACCCACATACTTCGAGTCGATAAGTAGCCGCATTATTAGATGGTGTTAAAAGAAAATGCATCCCTCTAAATTGATACCAACTCTGGAGCTCTTGAAATACAATTTTGATAGAATAACGCATGTTTGCGAGCAAATGATGAAAATCTTAGATAACAAGGTTTTTCAACTAGAGCATGTTGTGTTTTCTGATGAATGTTTACACTTCACAGTCATATTAATCGTCAAAATGGTCGCTACTGGTTTTATGGATAAGAGAAGAACACACAATATACTGAAAAGGTTAATGTTTAGGCAGGGATAGTTGAAAACCATGTCAATGGTTCCCTTTTCATGGAATGCAATTTGAATAGAGATCATTATTTAACACTGTTCCAAAATAATGTCGTTCCAATGTCAAGCAAGTCCTCAAATTCCAGCGAATATGATATGGTTCCAGCATGATGGATCACCTCCACAGAACCAAAACAAAACAGTTTAGGGAGGCGAGAATCTATAGAATGACCACCAGCACGATCGCCTGATCTTACCCGATTAGGCATTTTCTTATGTGGATATGTAAAAATATGATATTTAAAACTAAACCACATGATTTAGCTGATTGCAGAAGAAGAAGAGAAATAGAAAAAGAAAACGAAGTAGCAGAATAAATAGAAAAAGAAGAAGACGAAGAAGAATAACGTTGCGATTACGTCGGTCACGCCTCAGATGTTAGAAAATAATTTTATTTACGGTTAAGATGCTGCATTTTGAACATCTCCTACAATACGATTGATATATTTGTTATTGTTTTACACTATCAAGAACGAAACTATATTAATAGTTAATTAATTTTTTTACTGTTAATTTTTGCAGTAAATTTGAAAACCATAGCATTTTTGCTTAGAGAATGAAGAAGCCTTTTAAATCTGGTATCACATGCCTCTACTTCCTATTTACAAATTTTAAATGAAAGGGGTGAAATTGTCACGTTTCAAGATGTCATTTTATATTTTTAAATTGACATATTTTGGGATTTTTTTATAAATATGCACAGTAATTGAGCAAATGAATTTATTCCATTTGGCTTTTACATACTGTATATTCGATGCAGTGGCGTAGCCACGGGGAGTTTTGGCAGTCAGAACCTCCCCATGGAGGGCCTTCGCGTCATTGTTTCTGTCATCATATTGCCGCTGTTCGCTATTAACCGTTTAATTTTATTTACTTTTATTTATCGTTTTATAAAAAAATATTTATTTTTATTTACTTTTTTTTATTAAAAACAATCTTATCTTAAATATTTCAGCTTGTTGATTTAAACCCTCCCCCCATAGTTCTCAGAAGCCCCTTCCATGAAAAATGTCTGGCTACGCGACTGATTCGATATGAGTATATTATTGAACTCAGTTCCAAATGTCATGAATTTTTCATAACTTTGAAGAATTTGTAAAAGTTTGAAGCAAGTATGTGCCACAGTTACCCTTGTAATCACCTTAGATTCAATAAAATATATTCTGATGTCCAAGATCAGAACCTGTACCAAATCTTAGGAAGGATTCTCTTGTTTTCAAATCACATTATTTTATACATTTTTTAAGTAACTAGTTATTGTTTTCTTTTCTAAAACAGACAAATTGTGATCTATATCAAGTTTTATTGAGGTTTTTATTCAATATCAAGAGTCACAATGGTTATTTCAGCCTTCTGAATTGGAATTCCGACTTGTAACTCGGAATTCCAACTTATATATTGGAATTCCGAGTTGTATGTCGGAATTTCGAGATACAAGATGGAATTCTGAGTTACAAGTTGGGATTCCGAGATACAAGTCGGAATTAGTAAAAAAATTGTAGCGGTTCTACGCCTTCGTAGTTTCTGACTTAAATGTCAAAATTTTAGAGGTTTTCTGCTTAACAATCAATTATTAAATCATTTGTGCATTTGGTTTTAAAAACTTTATAGTTTTGGATATGGAGTATGGAGAAAAGAACAATCTCATATGGTTGTTTATCTCAAAAAGTGTCTACTCAAAACTCAAAAGCAGTAAATAAGGTTTCAGAAAGTGACCATTAGTGACCACAGAATGGCGCTCGTGTACTAGAATGGAAAGATCCAATGATATATAGTTATGTAGATTGCTTATCTATATGTAAATCAGACGAACGAAAGTAATATTGTCATCTATTATCAGCTCTATTATAAGCTCAGTCGCTCTTCATCGTGAAGAGCGACTGGGCTATCTATATAACTGTAGACAGCATTGTGACACAACTTTCGTCGACCCTCTGGTACAGTAACGCCATCTTAATTTTATACATTTTGAGGGTCATTTTTTGTAAACAGAGATAGTTCTCCTCACCTCTTCTTTCCATAGTTTTGGATAACTACACTGCCGGGCATAAAATTAAGGTTACCTCGTAATTTTTTTTGCTAACTTCATGCGATGTTTTTGTCGTGCTTGCTTGGATAAAAAATGTTTGTTGTTTCGATAATTGTTGGAAAAAATAGGCCTCTCACCCAAATTCCTGAAATCCATTATCATCATATTTTTTGTTTCAGTTGTCGTAACACTCTATCGTAAACTGTATGATTGATTAGTATTGATGAGCGTATTGAAATGGCCATAAATCCTGTTGTTGCGGCACAAATTGTGGCGGCTATAGAAGATGGACGCGGTGAGCGAGAAACTGCGAGAAACTTTGGTGTAAGCCTGTCCAGTGTGCAAAGAGTATTTCAGCGGAACGAAGAGACTGGACTGCTCAGTCGAAGACCTGGTTCAGGGCAAGGAAGGGCTAAAACAGCTACAGACGACCGCCTTCTCATTTCTAGTGCTTTGAGAAACCGAGTGGTGATGGCAGTTTCCCTTCGAAATCATCTCCAAGAAGTAAGAAATGTAAACGTAAGTGAGTAGACAATTAGGAGGCGACTTCATGCTGCTGGATTATCTTCTCGAACTAGAGCTACTGGACCACCGCTTTCCCGTGAACACCGGATTGCAAGGTTGAATTTTGCACAAGAACACTTGGCTTGGACAATAAAGGATTGAAGTAGCGTATTGTTTTCCCATGAATTGCGATTTTGTCTTACGAGCTCAGACAGACGTCTTAGAGTGTAGTGACGACAAGGCGAGAGATATGCTCAAGCGTGCATTGCCGAGCGACTTCCATTTGGTGGAGGCTCAGTTATGGCATGAGGAGGCATATCTTTTGAAGCTCGCACGGAGTTAGTCTTTATCCAGAATAGGACTTTGACTGCGCACAGGTACCTGACAGAAGTTCTACAAGACCATGTTGTACCGTTCATGGTTATTCTTGGAGAAGTCGTAACCTTCATACATGATAATGCACGGCCCCACACTGCTCGGATAGTTACGGCTTATCTCGACGAGGTTCAAATCACGCGATTTGCTTGGCCTGCTCGAAGTCCAGATTTAAATGCGATCGAGCATGTGTGGGATGAGATGGGGAAACGTCTACGGAGACATGTGCCGGCTCCCAGAAATGCTAGAGAACTTCGCGACATAATGGTGCAGGAATGGGACAATCTTCCGCAGGATGTGATCCAAAATCTAATCCAAAGCATGCCTCGTCGTTTGAAAGCTGTTATTACTGCCCGAGAAGGAAATACTCGCTACTGAAGCTCTTAAAATTTCTTTTGTTTGAACTTAAGGCATATCAAATTAAATTTTTATTTTCAATATTTTCAATAAACTATGAATAAAACAACAAAAACTTTTTCCGCCTACCTCTATCCAAAGTATACATTTTCTGGCCTCATTCCAGGGAGCAAAGTCGTACTTTTCCTCCCTAGGGAGGAAAAGTACTTTTACTCCCTAGGGGGAACAGTAAAAGTGACGTCATGGTATGTCATAAATGAAATAGCTTATACGGCATTGACGACCTAAACTATATTCTATTATATAAGTATAAATTTTACCGTTTATTTATAGAACACCCTGTATTTTGCAAAATAGTAAAAACCAGTAAATTGTTATTTTAATTTAACGATTTTTACATTAATAATTTGACTTCAATTCATAGATTCATCCGATTTTCGAATTTAGGACAGAAATATTATAGCATGCTATGGTCGATTGGTAGATCAGTTTCAAAGTGTGTTACGCTATAATATATCTACAAAATATAAAATAATATTTAAAAAATGAGTGATTTAAGCGAATTTGAAGATATAATTAATACACCACCGGATATTTTGGAACAGGTTAATGCAACAGTACAATCTCTATTACCCCAAAAATCTAAAGAAAAATACGAAAAACAGTATTTACATTTCAAGCAATGCGCCGAAGAAAATTATTTAAAAATGACTTGTTATTTGAGGGAGGCGGAAAAATCATATGTATTACTTGGGAGTAAAGTGCCTTTTCCTCCCTTGGATGTTTATTGCCCTCCGCTTCGCGTCGGGCAGTAAACTTCATCCTGCGGGAGGAAAAGTGGCACTTTCCTCCCTAGTAATACAAATAGCTATTTTCTATTCAAGCAAGCACGAGAAAGTTATCCATAAAGCAAAAAAAATTAAAAAATTAAATAAAAAATAATTTAAACGCAAATTACGAGGTGACCCTAATTTTATGCCCGGCAGATAAAAAATATATAAAAAAATATATGGAGTGTTCTTTTTTTTACGAAAATTCTCAAGAAAACCAACACTGACAGACTTATTAATCTATATCAAGATTATAACGCTCGTTTATATGGAAGCAAGACGATCAGTAGTATTTAAAAGTTACTATATTGGAAATTATATAAGTAAAAACAATAAGAGGAAGCTGAAGACACGATTAATTATGTTTAATAAAAAATCAAATCTGGTTACTAAAATTAATTTGGTATAATTTTTTTAAATAATTGAAAAAAATTAATTATTCGTCATTTTTGTATCAAACCAATAGTAAAAAAACAATATTAAAGCCCGATTTAAAAACCTGAAGTTGCAGTTACCGTTCGCAATTGCAGTTACCGTTTGCATTTGCAGTTACCGTTTGCAGTTGCAGTTCCCGTTGAAGTTAAAAAGCTAACTTTCACATTTGCGCACTTATATTCTCTGTTAATGTCATCGTTAGCTGTTGCACATACATTGCGTTCGGTTTGCCACGTTCTTTTAACTCCTTAAACACTTTTTACTCCAATCGACCCTTTTAGCGTTCGGTTTAGTCCGATTAGTGAGTTTAACACGCTTAAATGTCATTTAAAATCACCCTAAAAAACTCCGCTTTTGTTCCGCTCCAGCCCCTGACTATCCGAACTCGCCTATTCAAACATAACAAAGTATTAAGTTCAACGGCGACTGTAACGTCAAACAAACGGTAAAGGCGACGAAAACTGCAGGTTAATAAATCGGCCTTTTTTAGTTGACCAAAAATGCTAAAAAAAAATGATTTCGATTGTGGTCGGTCTAAATAAAATAAACTTCAAATTATTCAGTCTTAACATAGGTCGAATAATGGGACACGCGTTAATTTGTTGTAACCTCTCTGTTTTCTAAATTAATTATTTATTATATTCTAAGATCCGAAATAAGGTCGACCTTCACCCATCTGTTTACCGGATGAAAGTTTTTTTTTTTATTAAATAAAATATGTTTTTAAATATACCGCAAATGGGTTGCCTAAGAAAATTCGGTCCAGACTATTTATTTTCTTAAGGTTAAAAAAACGACACCCTGTAAAGTATTCCCCAAATGCTTTGACTGTGCCCAAACTTTAATCAGCTCATCGCAGGATAGATTAAAGCTTACGTTCAAAATTTGGTGTTTTTCTCTTCATCCGTTTTTGAGTTATCTTCAAAATTCGAAATTTGCACTTTTCATAAAATATCTCAAATTAGGTCCATTTTAGGAAAATCATGTATAGAGACAAAATAATAGAAAATGACATCATAAACAACTTTTAATATGATTCCTATACTTTCCTTATCTGTACACAGAGAGGAAAGTAAAAAATGGCCGTGACCGTATTTTCTTAGGCAACCCATTTGCGGTATATTTAAAAACATATTTTGTTTAATAAAAAAAAACTTTCATCCGGTAACAGATGGGTGAAGGTCGACCTTACTTACGGATCCTGGACTATTATAAAACTTTAAATTACTTACTGACACCAAATAAATTTCCAATTCCATTCTGTATACTACCAGCTATACCTCCTGAACCACCACCGCTTTGAGAAGCATTTATTAGACCTTGAATTCCATTCTGTATACCGGAGGCTATACCTCCTGAACCACCACCGCTTTGAGAAGCATTTATTAGACCTTGAATTCCATTCTGTATGCTGGAGGCTATACCTCCTGAACCACCTCCGCTTTGAGAAGCATTTATTAGACCTTGAATTCCATTCTGTATACTGGAGGCTATGCCTCCACCTTGCGAAGAATTAAATATTTGTCCAAAAATATTTCCAGACGTCAAATTACCAAAGTTTCCAGATAACATAGCCCGCAAATATTGAGGATTCAAATATTGTCCTAATACTGGAATTTGTGACAAAATTGAACTGATGTTCCCTCCACCCGATAGTAGTTGAGTGATATTTCTACCTTGCAAAATAGTTTGCAAAACATTACCGTTTCCAAATTGAGATACATTTAATCCGGGTACTAATCCATTCAGAAAATGTGAAGGATTGGAGCTGTTCAACGCTTCCGTAATAAATTTGAAGAAATGCGGGATACCTCTTTGAGGTGCAAAAGTCGACAAAATCTTTATAACAATGCTGACCCTATCTAGAGGATTTGGAGAGAAGAAAATTTTAATGATATCCGCTATATTAACGTTACTTAAAATCAGATTGTTGTCTGCCAAAGCTTTCAAAAACGTATAAATACCGTCAAAAGCATGAGAGTGATAGGCGTTTTGTTGAGACCTGACTATCTCTAAACCTTGGTCTATGAGTTGAGCGTACGTAGGTTCATTCAATTCAGTACTGTTGTACTTTAATATGGAAGCAATAACATCATTAATGGAACCCTGACCGCTCAAGGCTTTTGCTACATTAACTGAAATGGATATTAGTCCATCTAAACCGTTATGAGAGCCTCCGCTGACGTCTGAAAAGAACTTTAATACTCTCTCTCTAGATGAAAAAATACTTCCTGCTAGCTTGGAAAGATCCACATTACTGCCTATTTGAGTAAACAGCTTTATAAACGTTTCTATACCGCTAGTTCCATTGAAAATACTTCTCGGATCTATGTTAATTTTTGACAGGTCTATACCGCTAGTTGACGGATCTAATAAGTTAGCTAGTAACGCATTTATTTTGACGAACCAACGGAAATTATTTTGTATATAAAAATGACCGGTTCCCTTGTATAATAAACTTAAAACGTTCCTTAAATACGAAGCGAAGGTTGCAATGAATCGCAATTCTTCCGCAGTAGGAGCAGGAAATCCGAGATTTTTAAAATTCTCCCCAATTTCTGTAGCTAGTGGTTCCGGTAAGCTCGATAGGTCACTTTTCTGGCCGTACTGTTGGCCGATCTTCAATATGTTTTCTATCGATAATTTACCAAAATATTCAGTAAAACTAGATTTTGAAAGATCCCATAAAACATCTTTAGTTTCTGGAGATAGTTTTAAACGTATAACTTGTTGAGAGGAACCGCTCAAAATATATGTTACGCCAGTTTTACCATTTAGCAGTAAAATATTATCATTTTTATAGTCTAGTACCAAGGCAAGTTGTAGGTTTGTATGTTCGAGTCCTAATAGAGACATGGAACCTTTATAAAGAACTTTAAACTCCATTGAAATACGAGTAGTAGATGACATATCTTCTGAAAAAAAAATGAGAATACTAGAAAAATATCGTTGACAAAAAATGGTTTTTAAAATTGTTGTCTTATAATTTTATTAGAAATTAAAAATGTATTTCGTTCAAAATTACTGAGGGGGTTTCTTGTTTCTTAACCTACCTTTTCACCGCGTTTCCGATAATTCCAAATCCGAAAACACAAAATAGTAGTTTGTGCAACAAGAGTGGATATAAAGGCCGTATTGCACGAAGAGGAAGTCTGAGCACGATATGGACAGTCCACTCGAGTTGTATAGTATATTTTTTCTACGACCCACCTACTAAAATCTACAAATTTAAAAATGATTTTAGTTTAGTAAGACAAAATAACTAATTTTAAAATTATTTATGACTTTTACTAATTTATAAAATAAAATGAACATGAAAAACAAGTTAATGTTATTAGTTCCCAGCCGAGATTCGAAATCTGGTCTCTCGCGTGGAAGACAGACAACGTCTCCTAACCTAGACCGCCAGATTTGGGATTTTAGTTCTAAATCTCTAATTAAATTATTTACATACAGTTTAATTAAAATTTTAATTTTATTTGCAGTATTCGCCTGCGCACATGCTTTTGTTATAATACTCGTAGACAATGAGTATCATTTCTTGCTCTATTAACAATATTCTCTTCCAACATTTTACGGTAGTCTCTTGCTGAAAAGTCCGTAATAAATAAACGCTAACGAAATATTCTATAAAAGGTCTTCTCTTTACATAAAATGTCGTGGCATCTGTTTGATATTAAAAAATCACGTTAATTTTATTTCATAATACAAAATTCCATTAAACATATATTTTAAATGAAGCTAATAGTTCATTATGGTGCTAATAAACAAAGTCCGGTCCCTGTCACAGAGTTCGGGTCTCTGCCCAGTTCCCCCACTCCGTTAACCTTTCTTTAGAAATTGACAATATTTGCGCAGGTTAAACACCGGTGAATGTTATATCTCTGGTTTCTTTTATCTAAGTTCTACACCCACATATATTTCATATCCATTCTAGGTAATGAGAACACTGTGAAAAATTAAATCCACCAATCACAGTTCATATCTTGGTCACCCAACAACTACTATTATTTTTAAAATTTTAATTAAGTGACAATTCTGTCAAACTAATTGCCAGTATATTTTTTATTTATTGAGAATAAATATACATTAAAATAAGTTATTTTTGTGTAAGTTGTTTTCATTCACTGAAAAAAAGAAGACGCCAAGTTAAAAATAGCTGAAGCTATTATGGGTAATTATTTTAACTTAATATCAATTGTTTATATTGTCATGTAATTGAAACATTTTCAGATTCGGTAAATTGGTAAACAAAAAAGAAATGGAAATTAAAATAGATGACTGGTTGTGGAGGTTTCCGGAAAGAAATAGACGCAATGAATAATTAATAATTAACATTTTTTTATTTTTGTGTCAAAAAATATTATTTTTCAAATCAATTTATGAAAAAAGTGATAGATTTGATTATCCTACAAAAAAACGTTTAGGTCATTTCAAGAACGTTCCAGCAATAGTATAAAAAACTTACCTAAGACGTTTGAGCAACATCGCAGGATGTTCCACAAACATCACTGTGAATCGTCTCTAATACGTTACAAATAATGACATGGTCATTGTCAGAAACATCCCAGGCGTTTGAGGGAGAATAAGAAACATGACAGAGATGTTTCTAATGTCCCAAGGGTATGTTTCTGGAACGTTCGTGTAACAATACTGTGCTATTAGGGTTGTGGTCTTTGTGGCAGTAGCGGTGGCTGGTGGATATCTATCGCCGTTTGTAGAATCGTAGGGGGTGGAGGCACCTCGCTGTTTTGGGATGAATCCTCCCCTGAGGAATACTCGTTTTGTCCGAAATCTAGTATTCGGGTTTTGACGTGAGGTGGCATAGCCAGGGTTTTGTAGGCCGAAGTGAATTCTGGGAAGTCCTGCGACTGTTTCGAATTTTCTCTATACTTTTTTGGCGAGTCAAAAGTAGAAGATTTTTTGATCATTTCCGGGGTGTTTATGTCCGATTCCTGTTCATCTATGTTTAGTTCTGGCGAATCAGCTGTTTCCGGGCTGCTAGACCCGCTGTTGGAGTCTTCAAGCATTTTTCTAAGATTCTCCATACTTTCGAATCTCAGAATTTCAACACTATTCTGCGAAGTTTCTAAAGCATCGTTGCGCTCGCTTGCCTGCATGTAGGCCTCGTTCGGCAGCTGCTCTAGGTCGGCCTTATTTTCGCGTCTTTCACGTCTTTCACGTCTGTCAGCGTTCTGCTTACTTTCTTGGCTGTCAGCAGCTTTCTCCATACTTTCATAGTTGACTGCTTTTTGAGGCCGATTTTGTTGGCTGTCTATATTTGGGTTTGGGGCTTCTGCGGTGCATTGGCCTTTCACCAGATTTGTGAGTACTTTCTCCAAACTTTTTTCAGAAAAATTTTCGGCCAGAGGGTCTCTTTTGAATGTGGTAAATGAGCCCGAGTTAGGGGAGTTAGTTGGATTTCTTGTGGTACTCAGTTTTGTAGGGGTGCGTCTGTTTCGCTTTGAAGATCTTCGGACTATATAGGGCAGCGTGTTTCTTGGACACATTTATGTTGACCGTTGGCGGTTTTGAGGCGGCGAGTATAATGTCTCGTATCCGGTTTTGGATGGCCCGGCGGGCTCCCCCATGTGCGGGGTTACACTCCGAAATTGTTTTTTCACTTTACCTGGCACACGATTTTGTTCGGACAATTAATAGAACGGGAAAATATAGTTTATGTTGCAAAAGTTCGAAAAGTTAGGTTATGTTACCACGATATAAACGAGAGACGTAGGTCTGGGTAGCTGCAGCCTAGGCGAGTCCTAGGTTCACTGACTTAAAATTGAACAACTAGAACACTTTTAAATTGCTAAAACACCAACAAATAAATCAAAAAATAGCTGTCAATGGTGATTGAACTCAGGCGGAGGTGAGCGTTGAATGGAAAAATCGGAGCAATTCGGGTGGCGTCGTGCAAACAATGATTTTCAATTGGTGGGTTACTTGGAGTTAAAATAGACAACATGCGCAGTGTGCAATGTTACATCTTCGGTCTCTTTAAACTAAGGTGTAGAACACGAATATTTCCCTCTGTTGTACGTCTGCGCGATCGATTTGTGGTTCTGATTTTATTTGATAATTTCTTCTGAAAACCCCATTTATTTTCATAATTTTCAATTTAATTTTAGTGGTTAAAGGTCCGATTTTTTCGTCTCTAAGTAAAGTTACTCGTAGGATTACTGTTACTAGGCAGATTAGCGAACTATAACCTATAGCCAAATCACCAGATAGTTACTTCCAACTTTATTCAGAGGTGTAAAAACAGACTTTAAATATCAATGCCATTTTAAATGCAATTCATTTCTTACGAAGCTTATTTTATATAGGTACTGCAACAAGGGTACTGATTTTGTCAACTGTTAAATTACAGATATCTTTTCTGTATGCTGTCACTTTTAAATGTCAAATAAACTATTTAAAAATGTTTTAACATCCATTAAAAGATAGGTACTATTTGAGTAATTATTTATTGTAAGTGAAAATAACAGGATGGTGACGTAACAATTATTTTTGCATGATATTTAACAAATTCGAATTTGAATTTAATATTAGGATAAAAAAAGTAAAGGGCCCTAATATTATTTTTAAAAAGGCAAGCTTAAAAATCTGATGTGTCCAACACATGACTTTCCTATCTAGTTATTATAGGCTTTTTCCGGTTATTTTGTACAACCTATTGCAGCATCTCTATAAATGTTTGGAGGATAAACTAAATATATACATTGGCCACATACATCTACCTCGAAACATTTTTCTACAGATATTCATTGAAAACGAAAATACTGAAAATTTTAAATTTAGCACTTTTCCATTACGGTCCATTTTAGAAAAACCATGTAAAAACAAAAATTATAGAGATCGATATCGCAAACAACTTTTAGTTCAACAATTTTCATAAAAATCAGAATTTTGCATATTTTGTCAAATTTCTCGAATACGGACCATTTCAGGAAATTTTGACATAAAGCAAAAATTATAGATAATAATATTAGAAGTAACTTTTATTTAAATAATTTTCTTCTCCAAACATAAATAACAGATATATTCCATAAAATATAAAAACGGCCTTCCATAAAGTACCCCCCCAGATGTTCCGACTTTGTCCAAAATCTAATCATTTCACGTTAGGCCGAAATAAACCTTAAGTTTAAAATTTAATGTTTTTTTCTTTATCCGTTTTTGAGTTTTCTTCAAAATTCGAAATTTACACATTTTCCAAATATCTCGAATACGGTCTATTTTAAAGAAATTATGTATGTAATTAAAATTATAGAGAATTATATTACAAACAACTTTTATTTGAACAATTTTTATAAAAAAAAATATTTTTTTTACATTTTATCAAATTTCTCGAATACGGACCATTTAAGGAAAATTTTGTATATAACAAAAATTATAGATAATTATATTAGAAGTAACTTTTATTTGAAAAATTTTCTTTTTCAAACGTAAATAACAGATAAATAAGAGATATTACTAATAATTTCATATTTAAAAAAGGCATTATAATAGTGTCATGAAATTCCTAATCCGACCCTGTGCCTGTGTACGCTCGACCTGAGGCACTAGAAACAGCTGGAACGGCGGAGAATGTCGTTTAGTCATAGAAATGGAATGTTCCAGACGACCTTCTGGAGACTTCTAGTAGGAGTTGGACTAAATATAAATAGGCGACTCGTCGGCGGACAGTTAGTTGATTATAGACAGTTTTATATAGAACATTGTAATGAAAAGTTAAAGTGTAACAAATAAATTAGAATTGTTAGTTAGTGTCTAAGTATTATATAAATTAAATAGTACGTCTAAAATAATTTGTAAATAGTGTGTTTTTAAATAAATAAACTAAAAATAAATTAGATTTTCGTAACAATAGGCATGGAATTGGTATTTTTTGCCTTACATCAAATGAGGT